GAGTAAATAGATTGAATTGTTGCTAATAGCTTAGTGTACCATACAGCGGTGTGAGCCGTATATTTATAGAACATCTAGATCTAATTATTACCCAATCGGAAGACTTGGTGGAGATACCATTGAATGAAATACAACTTTAGAAGTGTGTCTGCAACTTGTATCAACTTGATATATATTCACTAGCTAGCGTTGGAGACTTTCTGTTGTATTAGTTTAGCACAAATGTATTTTGTATCTCTGCATTAAATAATTATTTAATTATGTAATTAAAAAATAAGAAAGACTCAATCTTACTTAGTTGTGAGTGAAAAGTTGCCAATGTATTCTGTACGTATCTTCTTTCTTCCACTGCAATGAACACGACTATTGAAGCAATTAATGATCAGAAAATATGTTGACAAGCTACTATCGACAGGCGCTCGCCTCTCACTTTTTTAGCCGATTGTATCTTGTGTTTCGTGATTGATCTCAATTACTGATTTATTGTTCGCGCTTGAATAAGAGCTAAGCCGCTTTAGTAGTAGCTGTGTCTTTTTTTCTATTCTTTAAATGTGTGTGTAGTCATAAGTTTTCAATGAATAGACTGGCCACTTTGTCTTCAATATATAATACTAGGGTCTCCATGCGTTGCTTTGAGTGAAGTTTTCATTTTATTTAGAATAGCACCGTTCGGGAACAGCGTAAGATTTAAATCTATCTATTGTTGTAAACTTACCTTATGGAAAATAAAGGCGGCTAGGGATTCGGCTGATCTTAATGCCTTGATCACTGAATCAGATTAACTCTACTACATCTGCCCCGTGTGTCTTGGGCACGAACGAAAAAAATTGATTGTTGTAATCTCGGTCTCGAAAAAGTTTCAAACCAATAATGGGAAACTAAATCAGAACTAAATATAATACACAATTGGGACAATGTTTATGTAAGTAGTACCCATTTCGTTAGACGCGAGTGTATGATCAATTTGAAAGTAAAGAAACACGTTTTGTCAACGTTTGGTTTGGTCGTATATATTATAAAACATACTGGTACGGAAGTAAGTATAAATGAATGAAACCTTGCGAGAAATGCTGGAGTAGTTTTTGTGTGAAGATTCATGCTTATATTCTTATGCGTGGTATGTGTAGTTTCCTATAATCGTTACGATTAAATAAACTTTATCTATTATTTTTCAACAAAACAAAAACGTTGAAAAAAACAATATAAATTTCTTATATTTGTAAAAAATAAATTCAATTATTGATTAAAACATTAGTAAAACATAAATCTAGATCGCAGTACTGTGTGCGTCTTTCTCATAATGTAATAAAATGTTAACTAAAATACGAAAATCAATAGGATTATATTATATCCTAAGTATAACATATTTGAATTGTGTTTAAACAAAAACACGGTAACTAACATTATCTATTCTCTGTACTGTAATTTATTGTAACAAGCTATTGTTTACAGATACTCCAATACAGCCTGAGTGAGATTTCGAATAAAAGAGAATTCAAAGACTATCAAAGTATGCATTTTACTTTCTCCAATATACAAAGTATAGAGAAAGTCGTGTAATCGTGCAAAAAAAAAATCTCACTGATACGGAAAAACATAATTTTGCAATCTTGTCCGTATGTCTCTGTGTCTTTCTGTGTGTCTGTGTGTGTGTGTGTGTGTAAACACGATAACTTGAGTACCGTTACAGCTAGGTTGATGAAATTTCATATATGAGTATTTTATCAAAATCGTAGATCTGTATCAACTTTTGAGCGATTTCCGATAAACGGAAGTGGTACTTTTCCTACTTTGAAATTTTCAAAAGCCTATAACTTGAGTACTATTTCAGATAGATAAACGAAATTTCACATGTAAGTAAAAGATCTAATTTTCTACCTTCTGTTAAATTGTGAGTCATTTCCGTTGACCGGAAGTAGTAATTTCTCAAAAAACTAATGTAAATTTTTTAAAGTACTAATAATATTGCGCACTATTATGCACTTTTTTATTTAGCGTTCACTTGGTGTGCAATTCTTTTGTCTACGAGATTTTATTCTATTGTTAAATTTTTAAGTATTTAAAATGGATTAAAAATCATGTCTATAGCCCGAGTTCCCATCCCCTGTTATTTTATATAAAAATATTCGAGAAAGTTTAGGGGAGATCACTCCCGGTTTATTTTAAATTTGTTTTGGTGAAAAAGTAAATACATGAAACTTTAACTTTCGGTTAACAAAAATTGTTAAAAAAACGGAGAGCTGGGAATCGTTTTAAACATGTACTTAAAAAATGACGTTCTCCGAATTTGACCCAATAAAGTATGTGTTTGCTTACCGTTCATACCTGCACATTTATAGCAGTAATAGTAACAGTTCTCCGTCTGTACAATGCATTTTGTTGGGGTTATATGAAAATTTTTTTGAAATTGAAAAGTACTGGTCTAATTGACTGCAACATGTGTAACCTTGTGATCACACTGTAGAAAGTAGCTTGATCATATAATCAACAACTATCTCTTGCATTTTGACAAGATGACCATTTTATCAAAATTTTAAAAAGGTAAAACAAAACAATAAAAAGAGTTGTAAAAAATGTTTCTTCTTTGTTCAGAGATTATTTTAAACGATCATTTTTTTTCAACTATCAATACACAACAATGCGTACTTTCGAGCAATGACCTAGCTAAAGGTAATTTCAACAGCTTAGCTTTGAAGATATCATCCGAACGTTCAATAGTGGGGATCAATAAGTAAAGACTGAACAAGGTCGCGGATAGAAATGAGAGGCGAGTATATGTGGATCATCATTCATTGATCATTGGCTGGTTTTTTTTTATTGTTAACTTGGTCGCGTGGTTTATTTTTATTAATTTTTTTTTTAAATGTAATACACGGTCTTTTAGAATACTTTGGTTAAATGTTACCCAAAATACGCGTCTGGTCTAGATTTAATTGTATCTATTTCACTAAAATTATCGTCTTGGAGTTCCATTGATTTTCGTGTGAGTACTGTTTCAGAGAATAAATTATATATGCTACCCGATAATATGTTTAGCGCCGTTTATTTTTTTTATTTAGTTTTTTGCATGCAAAGTTATTTCCAGACAGTCTTCTTATAGGCTGATTAGTAAGTAAAGACACTGCAAAATATAATCAATACGACGCACAGGGATAGTAAAGTTCCCTTTCAAACCCGTCTAGACGGAAAGTGAAGTAGAGTTCACTTGTTTCTGTGACCTCGGTATATGAAGGAATAAAGTGGTCAGCACTATGTCCAGCCGCCTTTACTTTCCCTAACGTGAGTTAGGTACCCATCAGAGCTGAGTGGACTCAGTCTACTGAGTACAGGGTTGGACCTGAATGAAATCTTCTGACTCTAGTAAGTCCATTGTTAACACAATTTTTTTTTTAATTCATACAATGTGTAAGATGAATATTGAAAATAAAACTCGTTTCTAAGTTACTAAAATATTTATAAATAATATATTGAGAATATTTATAAATAACATATTGAGAATATTTATTAATAATATATTGAGAATATTTATAAATAATATATTGAGAATATTTATAAATAATATATTGAGAATATTTATAAAAAAAATATATTGAGAATATTTATAAATAATATATTGAGAATATTTATAAATAACTATATTCCAATATGTATCTTAAGAAAGATGGTCTAATAGAACGTACTACTGTTACCCAAAGCTCTCCAGTTAGGATCCCTAACCTACGTGTGTATTGCGTGTTCTTGAGCTTACATATCCAATTCTAGCCAAAAATAAAAGGTGGTCGGTAATAGAAAGTATCAAACTATACTTCATATGCTGAGGTCACAGACACAGATAATCTGTTACATCTGACCAATGACCCGTCAGGTTCAAAACGTAATAACTATGCAAACTAATCACGTGGAAGAAAATTGTTTTCCCTTTCTGCTTGGAAAGGCTGGATAATTTGTGACTGGATCTTTTAACTGAATTTAATTGGTCAGAAATACAATACCTAAATCACCGATCGTAAACGATTTGTTTAATCAGACATCTAAAATATTAAAACAACAGTATCATATATATATATATATATATATATATATATATATATATATATATATATATATATATATATATATATATATATATATATATATTCTCTATCTGATTTACATGTTTGATTTTGTCTTTGATTTCCTTGTTCGATTTATTGACATATTCTCCGAAACACGAAATTATAAAATTGATCTAAATGGGTGTCTTTCTAACGAACGTCGTATATCGTAGCCAACATACATTTGTTTCACCATTTGTTTGTTTATTTTTAACAGCGGCCTCGTCGTAATCAACACATCGAAACATGCAACCAAGTTTGGTTTGAAAACATCTATAATGCAGCGTAATATCGTAAGGTAAGATCACTACCATTTTGTAACGGGGTACTTATATTGGTGTACATGGTATTAAAATTAGACATGAATTAAAATGTGATGCAAAAATGTTAAATTGAATAGATGCTTTATGGGGTAAGTGAAGTACAGTTCACCTATCTCCGTTACATAGCATTTGAAAGGATACTGTGGTCAGAAGTATGCCAAGCCTTCATTGTTTTTATACAGGGTTGTTATAAGGGGCAAGTGTCCATTCAGGCATTTTTTTCACATTCAGCAAGTGTCCATTCGGACGATTGTTGCATTCGGGCAAGTGTCTATTTGCCATTTTTTCAAGTGTCAATACAGGCATGTGTTTACATTCGAGCGTGTTGTTGCACTCGGGTAAGTGTCTATTCGAGAAAAACAGCCTTTAGGGCAAACTGCATTCAAGCAAGTGTCTTTCGGGAATGTGTCGTAGACTCTTCTCGTACCTGTGTGTATGTTACAAATGTTTGTTAAGATTTTAAAACAAATTTTAACATTCTCTATCTACATTCTACTCTTCCTCCTGCAGGTTGATGCCAGTGGCTCTCCGAGTCCTGCCGCAAATAAAATGTGTGAAGCTCAGCCTTGTTTTGACCATTACAATGTCCACTATTGCATTGTGCTTCGTTGTATATGACAGTCGATTATTAACTGTATTCCTTAGTGTTGACTCAAATACCATTGAAAGCTGGGCAATAGAGAGCTATGATACGGACCCAGTGAAAAATAACCAATTAAAATTGTGGGAACCCATGTCAATCAACGCCACGACAACTCCGCCTACCTACAGTAACCCAAATCTCAACAAATTTTCATTTTTGTCCGCACAGGTCATTAACCCACATGATTATAAACACGTCATATCTCCAAGAGTTGCATGTAATGACCAGCAAGAAATAGAGATAATTATCTGTGTCCCAACTCGCGGTGACAACTTTAAAGGTCGCAAAACAATTCGAGGGACCTGGGGCAGTAATGCTAATGAAAGCTCCTTTAACTCAATTCTAATCTTCTTTATTGGAATACCAGACATCAGCTCGCCTAACGCTAGTTTAACCCAGAAATTACTTCTTCAAGAATCTGTCTTGTATGGCGACATCTTGCAAGAGGATTTTGTAGACTGTTATAACAACCTCAGTATCAAGTCCGTTTCTATCCTCAAGTATGTTTTTCTTCACTGTCCAAAGGCAAAATATATGCTCAAAGCGGACGATGACATGTATATTAATGTACCCTTTTTAGTTAACACTCTGAGACGATTTCAAATTACGAAACCCAACTTAAACGCTTTTGTAATGGGATCAAAACAGATAAAAGTAAACCCAATGAGATCAACTGACTCCAAGTGGTACACCTCTATTTCTGAGTACCCCGAGGATACCTATCCTGATTATGTGATAGGTGCGGCCTACGTCATGTCTACACAGGCGTCGTGGCTGTTGTACCAGGCGTCTCTCAGGTTGCCGTTGTTCCTGTGGGAAGATGTGTACATCACAGGGATGTGTTCCAAGAATGCTGGCGTGGAAGTGATAGACAATGTTCTGTTTTCTTACCTCAGACATGCGGTATCCGGCTGTTCCTTTAGGAAGCGCATTTCTGGGCATCCGTACAGTCTGGCAGATTTACGAGTTATACACAGTGAATTGTACGATAAAAACATCATTTGTAAATAAGGATTTTATACGGTTTTCAGAGTTTCACTACTCCAATAAAATTGTCTACCTACGGAACGGTGAAGTAGAGTTCATTTATTTCATTGACTTCTTCATGAAGAGGTATATTGTGGTCAGCATTCTGCCCAGCCGCCTTTACTTACCCAAACCTCAGTCAGGTTCCCATCATAGCTTGTTAGACACGAACGTTTTACTTACACGGCCCGGGTTTCGAACTCGAAACTTTCAAGTAGGCAACCGTATTCTCTACCACCATCCAAACCTTAGCAACGATACCTACAAAGTAACGGGACATTTTACACTATGCAATATACATTACTGACGACAAATAATAAGTATTTGATAAAGAAATATGCGTGGGTGGGTGCTAGAGTACCTATTCTCACCTGATGATGTAAAGTTCTTGTCCGTCAGGTATTCGTCGACTAGTTCGTCATCTTCTTCGTAATAGCGTATACACAACTACTGTCATAAAGCGTGATTTAATGCCTGAATCAAGTATCTAATATATAAAGCTCAGTTCTGTATGTAATGCATTTGTATGTCGTTGGAATTGTACGAATTTAAGTGTTAGAAAATTATCGTGCGCATTTGTCTAAATTTATGAGCTAAAAAACTACTATTGAAAGTGTTGGGAAATAATTTTCATTTTTCAAATTATAGTAATAATTGTCGGCATGTTCATTAAACACAAGTTTTAAAAAAAATATCATCTTTTACAAAAATTCTAATTATGTCTTTATTTAGTCCTATAGCACTTACTTCCCTTTGATAAATTAGGAAAAACACAATTACTTCCCTTTATAAAACCATTGCATTTTGTGGAAAAGTATTTACTTTTTAATTACTTTGTTTTGGTGTTGGGAAAAAAAAATAATTACATAATTAGCGGGGATTGATCAAGTGCAAATGTTGTAGGTATTTTACGGATAAGCTTGGAGTATTATAATTGTTCATCAAATTGAAACAGGCGCGTTCGTTTAAGTGAGTGCAAAAGACTATGAATAAGTTGGGGTACTATAGTCGTTCATTAAGCTAAAACAGGTGATTCCGCCCCGGGCGTTTATGTTCGCGTTAGTGTTTTCTTTGTGTTTGGGTGTGTTTGCGTTAGTGGTTGCGTTTTGATTTGGTTCGTTTTTGTTCTTTCTTTTTTCGTTTTTGTTTGTGTTTTTTTGTTTGGGTTTGTATTTGTGTTTTTGGTTGGTTTTGCGTTTGGATTTGGTTTGTTTTTCGTTGTTTTTTTTTTTGTTGGTATTGGTGTTTGTGGTTGGGTTTGTTGTAAGGTTTTTTTTTTCGTTTTCGTTTGCTTTTTTGTTTGTTTTTTCTTTGTGTTTGTATTGGTGTTTGTGGTTGTGGTTGGGTTTGTTGTTAGGTTTTTGTTTTCGTTTGTATTTGTAATTGTGTTAGCGTTATGTTTGCGTTTTGTTGTTTTGGTTGGTTGTGGTTTGGGTGGGCAATGCCGGGTTTATGATGATTACTAAACACACAGGTAATGGTCTTTAACAGAAAGGTTTTTCACAGAAGCCAGAGCAGGGCCTGGCCGGGACGGCTAGTCTAATATATAAAGCTCAGTTCTGTATGTAATGCATTTGTATGTCGTTGGAATTGCACGAATTTAAGTGTTAGAAAATTATCGTGCGCATTTGTCTAAATTTATGAGCTAAAACATTACTATTGAAAGTGTTGGGAAATAATTTTCATTTTTCAAATTATAGTAATAATTGTCGGCATGTTCATTAAACACAAGTTTTAAAAAAAATATCATCTTTTACAAAAATTCTAATTATGTCTTTATTTAGTCCTATAGCACTTACTTCCCTTTGATAAATTAGGAAAAACACAATTACTTCCCTTTATAAAACCATTGCATTCCGTGAAAATAATTTACTTTTTAATTACTTTGTTTTGGTGTTGGGAAAAAAAAATAATTACATAATTAGCGGGGATTGATCAAGTGCAAATGTTGTAGGTATTTTACGGATAAGCTTGGAGTATTAAAATTGTTTATTAAATTGAAACAGGCGCGTTCGTTTAAGTGAGTGCAAAAGACTGTGAATAAGTTGGGGTACTATAGTCGTTCATTAAGCTAAAACAGGTGATTCCGCCCCGGGCGTTTATGTTCGCGTTAGTGTTTTCTTTGTGTTTAGGTGGGTTTGCGTTAGTGGTTGCGTTTTAATTTGGTTCGTTTTTGTTCTTTCTTTTTTCGTTTTTGTTTGTGTTTTTTTTGTTTGGGTTTGTATTTGTGTTTTTGGTTGGTTTTGCGTTTGGATTTGGTTTGTTTTCGTTTGCTTTTTTCGTTGATTTTTTTTTTGTGTTGGTATTGGTGTTTGTGGTTGGGTTTGTTGTTAGGTTTTTGTTTTCGTTTGCTTTTTTGTTTGTTTTTTCTTTGTGTTTGTATTGGTGTTTGTGGGTGTGGTTGTGTTTGTTGTTAAGTTTTTGTTTTCGTTTGTATTTGTAATTGTGTTAGCGTTATGTTTGCGTTTTGTTGTTTTGGTTTTGGTTGGTTGTGGTTTGGGTGGGCAATGCCGGGTTTATGATGATTACTAAACACACAGGTAATGGTCTTTAACAGAAAGGTTTTTCACAGAAGCCAGAGCAGGGCCTGGCCGGGACGGCTAGTTGTGTCTATAATACAGGTTATTGTTCATGCCACGGCATCTGTGTGCTTGAGTGGTACGTTCTTAGACTTTAAAATATACTATGATACCAGAGTTTCTTCCAGGCATCTCTTCGGGGGGGGGGGCATCGCCCCCCCCCCCCCCTCGAAATAAAAACGGTAAAGATGGGACTAGTATCATTTTGTTTGGTCCTCTATTGTTTTCAATTTTACAATTGTTCGTTATTGTGCTCTGATTATAACGAAAATATAAAGGCTTATTGAATTAACAATATAGTTTATCAAATGCATTTTATTATATATGTTTTTGCTATAATTAACAGGAAAATATATAATGTAATTAACAATATCATGTATTACATGCATTTCATTATACATTTATAATTCAATACAATTAGTTTTTGATGCCTTGCTTATTATGTCTCACAAGCAAGGATTGATCAGACTTTACGAGCGGTCTAAAATAAAATAGAAAAAAAAAGCAATATTTCAACGTTGAACACATGGATTCTAACACGAAAAATCTGGATTCCATCACTTTTAAACTAAAGTATATTTAGCAAGATTTAAATGTTAAACGCTTGTTTACAAAAATGTGTGTTTTACTTTAGCTATCTGTATATTTATACATAGACACTACTCCATTGAATATGTATCTCTCTTAATATCACATAGCAATTATTGTGTATTCATTCAAACACAATTATTTTAAATATGTTTTTAAGACTCTAATTGCTTTTAGTGAATGTAGGCTGTCTTGTTAGAATTTTGTTTTATCTGTTATTTTTCGGTAATTGCCTACTCTCGTGTGTGTCGATGACGGGAAATTGGAGGGAAGAAAATCAATAAATAAACATGAAAATACATATCCTACTTCTTTTATGGTGATCAAGTTATGTATTTATTTTATTTTTTGTGTGTCTGAATGTGTACGTTTATAAATTTAATATTTAAAATTTGTGTGAGAAATATTTAACTGAACGCGATTAGACTGAAGTAAGCCAAACCAAGCTGTTTCAACATTTTATTGTTGTTTTTTTTAGTTTCCCTTGACCTAGTACATCGACGTGTATTTATGGGTTTTTTTTCATGGTCACATTGGTAAATTTATTTTAAGTGTCATTTTTTATTATAAACTCTATGTTAATTTCGAAATGACAATGGTTGAAACAAACAGACAGATGTTGATACAAACCAAAAAACAAAACTAGTGTCTTATATCCATGCAATGAGGTTTGTTTAAGCCTTTTAGCGCGCTGAAAAATTCATATTTTGAAAGAAAAAAAAACTCAATTTAGTGTACAGTTATCAAGCCGCGATGTTGCTATAAAAATTTTAAGAATTGTTGCAGAATGTCGTCAACAGAGTGTTTATAAGAGGAGCAAAACTGAACTGAGGGATTTCTTCATCTTTGTTCTTAATTTTGATGTTGGAAGGAATTTCCCCCAAAATAATTAAGTAATACGAGTCAACTAGTTTTGCGATATATAGGCCGTTGTCTCCGATTTCTGCCTGCTGTTATTTTGCCTTTGCTTCCATAGCCTTTATCCAGCAAGAATAAATTACAAGATAGCGGTTGTTTGATTTTGGAGTTGTCTATCCTAAATTGAGTTGTTGTCCACATGAAGGGGTTTCAAATTCTGCAAATACCTTTAATTTTTAAATGTGACAGAGTTAACTTTATGTCAGTATGTGGGGTCACTATCTAGTCATTGATGGTGCAGGTGTTGGGGAAACTAGTGAATACCTCGCCATGGATAGATGGGAGGTAGAAAATTTAAGGAAATATTGAGAAATGGAGTAATAGACAGGTGTGACGACTGAGACGAGTTTATACAAGCAGCGCTGTTCACATAAAGAGGTCACATTACATGGGAAACCGGTAACCAATGATAACAAGAGCACTACGTAAATTTACACATTGCCCTTGACTTGTTACACTAAAAAGGTATGTTACAACAGTGAAACATTTTCTCTGCAATAACACACGTACTAGTCCTCAAGTGTCTATATTTTCTGAGAGAAATACAATAAAGCTTTTTCATTTGTATTTACATTGTCTTTCTAAAATAACACGTTCACGTTCATAGGTGTCAACATTGTCTATTTGCAGTTAAATATGGTCTGTATTGATTTGAATTTAATGTGTTTGCATTCCTGTTGGCGTTAACGCATTTTATTTACACAGTTCTTTATTTGTTCACAAACACCAATAATTTGAATAAAACCTCAGTTGGCAGTAAATGTTAGCTATTTACACTCCATGTTTGAAAATAATACAACTTGTAATACTAAATGTATTGTAGAAGAAACGCAACTTAGTTTTGAGTGTTACTTATTTTTTCACGACTATTTCCCTTTGTTATATATATATATATATATA